TCTGAGGTAACTCGTGGCACACTCATCTTTAGAAGCCATGAAGAGATTAGATCCATGATGTTCAGTTACATGCTCAAAGTCATACATCCAATAAGGGATAAGATGTGAATTTCAATCCAAGTTAGATGGTTCAAAGCTCATTTTCTTTATTCTATTTTCTCTGCCTTTAAATGCCACCCTCATTTTTAGCTGGTATGGCACCTTGCAGGTAGTTAGGTACTGAGAGGGTAAGAATTAGGCCAATGAAAAAATGTGTAATTTGCAACCACGGGTGGTCAATGCTGGTCCTTTTTATTTGCGTTCTCATCCACAGAGAGTACTGGTTATAAATCCTGAGACTCTAAAAAGAACATTTTACCTGGAGGTCAGGATCAGCCAAAGGTTTCTGGGCTCCCAGAGTAAAATGGCCTCTTTCTATGATCACGTTGGTGAGCTGCAGTTTGGAGGCGGCTTTCCTATAAACTACTTCTTCCACCGTGTCTCGGCCAATCAGCCGGATCACTTTCACAGCCCTGTACGGGAGTCAAATGAGTGTTAGGAGTCTGCAAAGCTGGGGAAAACAGCCTGCCAGGAAAATACACCCAAAAGGAAGCAGAGCCAAATGGCACATTCAGGGAACCATGAAAAGGACACTGCTCATTGGGACCTGAGCATTTGTTAGAGAAATCTGGCCTCAACTTCTTCCTGAACTTTTCCCCARAAGAGGAAGAGGAAGGAAGACAAAGTGACCACTATGGGGCCTTCCTCTGGAGCCAGGATAACCCCTGGCAGGCATGTTACCTCAAGTCAAAGGGTAGCTGAACACAACTTTGTTTCCTCTTTGTGGTACTGGGAACCCCACCCAGGGGAGCTTTACCATGAAGTTATAACCCTAGCCTTAAAAAAAAAAAAAGTTTTGAGACAGGGTTTAGGTAAGTTGCAAGGTTGGCTTTAAACCTGATCTTCCTGCTTGAGTCTCCCATGCTGATAATGATCACAGGCATGTGCACCCACTGGCTTTAACTTCATTTTTAAACTGAATTAGGATCTAAC